GGGGTTGTCCTGTATCGGGGGGGGGGGGGGGGTTTGTTCATGTGTTTATGGTATATTCATTTGAGGGGCTTTTCTTCCTTGAAGATATCTTTTTTTTGAAAGAGAGAGAAGGGGGATTTATTGTTATACGGTGGGAAGCCTAGTGTACAGTATAGAGGTGTTTTCACATTAAATATAGTACCGTAGTGGCGAAAGGTAACCTGCCGGCAGGAGAGATGTGATACAGATTGATAGGTAAGGGAAGTGGAAATAATGAAACCCAGGCAGACAAGGCCACAACCGCAACTCCAAAGAGAAAATCGAGAATCAGAAGGGGAATTAGAATAGGAAAGGGATAGGAGGGATACAAAGAGGGGGAAAAGGAAGAAAAAAGAAAAAAAAACAAGAAAGAAAGGTCAGAAATCTAGAACCAAATCCATCCATTCTCCTCCTCCAAATTTTACCGAAGACACGCCCCTACAACGAAAGCCAAATCGCTCATAAAACCCTGCCAACCTATCCCTTGCTATCAGTGCGATTCTCTGCACGCATCCTCCCATAATCATCCGTCGTATGTATTCCTGAAGCAACGTAGTTCCTAAATATCGGCCCTGATGTGTCGGTTGTATTGCGAAAGAATGCAGAGCAATAGTTGGACCGGCAGGGTTATGAGGAGAGTGTCTGGGCGTAGCTACGGCCATGGATGACTCCGTCACTGACGGCGAGAGGGTCTTGGTTGCGATAGCATGGCCGAGGAGGTATTCTTTGTTTCGACGGATGGTAAATATACCAAAACATAGCTCTGGACAGACCTTAAGGCGATATGAAAACTGTATTTAGTGGTCAGTCGAGTGTAGAGAGAAGTGGACAGAGAAAGAGGTAGTAGTTACTGTTTCCCGAGGACACCGCTCGCTGGTGATAAAGGCTGCTTCTTCCAGAGCGACACAAGCTTCGAGATCCAGAAGCGTAAGGTTTCGAACGTATGTTCTCTCTTTTGTAAATTTATCAGTAGCCGACCGCGTTCTCTTCGGGTCCGGGAATCCCATCCTCATCCACGTATACCGGTATCTTTGGTGTGAGCACCTGTAATGACGGTGTGCTGTAAGAGCGTGGGAGGGAGCGATATCTTATCTACTACTATTTTCCGAGGGGTAGGCTGACTCGGGCGGTATATTATTATGAAAAGGCGGAACTTGTCTCTAGGGATCGCCGCTAGGTTCTCTTAGAAGGGCTGTAGGTACCGGTAGCTGAAGAGGTGGCGAAAGTGGTGCCCGCAGGGCTCCTTTTGTAACCTACTGTAAGGAAGCTGAAGGAATGAGTAGATGATGTCTCATCCTTAACGGTGGCCATAGAGCTAAGCTCCGGTAAACACAAATGAAGTATCCCACGCCGAAAGGCAGGCGAGGGGTGGTGGAGTGATGAGAAATCCAGGGGAGGGTTTGAGGCTCAGAACAACATGCTGAGGCAAGGCCGTACTGTGCCTACATCATTTACTCGCGCCCGCCAACGATAACGAGAATAATAGGAGGCAGGTGGGGAACAAAGCATAGCACTCTCTGGATGTGTGTACCAGTTGGTTGTGGGGATTGGCATGTTGGCAATTATTGACCTTGCCCGACGGAAGAAGGTCGCCGCCTAGGGTGATATTGTGCATGCATCCACGTGCGATGATGTGCAAAACAGCCCAGCGGCGCTCAGATCCGACGGAATAGATCTATGATACCCAGAATTGTACTCGTACCTACATTACGCCCCATACCTGTACTGTACGAGTGCGCCCAAGCTTCTAGTCATATGCAACTCATAATCCCGGAGCCAATAACAGGAACTTACAGAGAGCAATAGGTCCGCTCTGGCGAACGAAAACCGTCCGCATCGAGGGAAACAGCGATTCTGAATTTCCCCGAAATTCCATGGATTACTGTTTTTTCAAACCAGACACTCAACGGCAGCTTGTGAGTGCCCTCAGTATTATCGAAAGTAAGAATCCCAGCCCGCAGGAACGGTATGGTGCCTGTATCATACTCGGGTATGTCTGCCAAATGTGGGGTGGGGGGCCCGTTGGCCGTTGACGGGCAACCGAGTGGACTAAAGGCAGGTTTGCTACAACCATGGGAAAAAGCCTTCGGCCCATACGGTATGCGGATGGCATCTTATTTTGTGCCCCAAGTCCCACCCACCAGCTCGCGGGTGTACTCCGTCCGTACTGTACCGGTATCGAGCTTAAAGCCCTCCTTCCGAATACTGGGAGGGTCCAACACCCTCAAATCGGAGTTGAAAACACGACCCAACCTTTTATAACGGTTTCCCCAGCAATATCCAAATGGCCTGCAACCAGTCCCATGGAATCTACGAGCAGTATGGGGAGAACTCGGAACTTTTGGCCCAGGCGTCTATTACCCAAGGCACAATTTCGACTTGAACTGCTGTGAAATACTAAGGCTTCAGTGGCTCATGAAACTAGTATAGGGACCTAAAGGTGATATCGAGTCGTAGGATAAGATTTCAAGGCTTTCACGAGCATTTTAAGTTCCCGGGCCCGTGATATGTGTCCCGGAGATCCCGAAGGGGAAATCATCCGGTTTCTCTCCATGTCGTCGGGCTTTATCCGAGTCGTGATAAGTTTTGTCCTTTGTTGGTTGGTTGCACCGGTGAAACAGTATTTTTCACGTTCCTCCTGTTAATACCGGTAATACACCCGGCTATTAGGCAGCTTGTGAAAGCACAGTGTCGCCATCTCTGGGGATACGGTACCTTACCGGAGGTGTAACCTTATGACTGGGACCGTCTTGTGGGATTTTCGGGAGCTCTAGATCTACTGAATTAAGCTTGTATTCGAACGAGGCTGACCGCGAAGCCAGGGATGATGGGTGGGGACGGACAACTAAATTGCAAGGTTCTCGATAAGAAGATACGATCTGTGCCTCAGGTTAGTTTACATTCGGGCAAGGGGGTTGAAGGCTGTATTTTCTGTAACGTGCCCTTCAGCTCCGTTTAAAACCCACTCGGTACTGAACTGAACAGGGTTCGTGTGAAGTTTTTGTTCGTGTAGGAGGATAAGAGTCAATGATCTTGCAGCTTGAATTTAGATGTGAGGAAGTGTGAGCAATTGGCCAGATATAGCTTGTTAGAAGGACGTTGGAAAGGTGATTCTCAAGCAGGGAAATCAAACCACGCGAGGGGTAGGCAGTTGGGGCCGGTTTGGATTCAGCAATTATTTCTGGTGCGGTACCACCGGCCCCCTGTGCCGGCGGGATAGGGGTAACGCCCGAATTGATGGCTTGTACTCGTACTCGTACAGTAACGGGTTCGAAGAGGATCTGTCCGGGGTATGGGCTGGTAGTCCGGGGGGTGGGGAGGAAGGAGGTTTGCATGAATGGATACTGGCTGCTTGCACTCGAATACCTGTACCGGTACTCGTATCAGTTAACCCTGTTGCCCTTTTCGCATACCCAAAGTGTACTGTACCGTACAAGTATCATACTCGAGCACAGTACTCGAGTACAGGTACGGTAGGTGTGTGCGAAGCTAAATCTACGATGTATAAACGATATTCTGGATTAAAGTTAATAGCAACACAACCCCCGATGACCGTTTACATTACATGACATTATCTTCCCTCCTGAACGAATTCAACAATTGAGAACGACACACTCGACCATCCGGAAAGAATTAACTCGATTGGGGAAGTAACCCGATGTATCGAGGCGGTGAAAACGATTAACCTAGGTTTTGCGGTAGGTAAAACGCTACCGTATCATATCCCTTGCCCAGGATCGCCACTGACACGGGGAATGGAGCACATCTTCCGTGGCTCTTCCTTATGCTGTAGCTAGCCCCTCAGGGGAATACCGGTAGTCCAACTCGTGCAGAGCACAGCTGACAACCGCAGAAATTCGCATTTCCCGGGCGGCTCGAAGCGCTACTGTGCCGGTATCGGCACCGGCCTGTCGTCCAAAGCCGGCCAGCCCGTACTACCAGGCGCCCCCTTTGTGCTCACAAATTGAGAGGGGCTGCTGCTACAGCACTGTAGGTACGGGTACAGGACAGAGTACTAGTACGAGTACTGTACGAGTACTCCTAGCACATTACCGTTATGCGATACCGGCACTCGAGCGGAGCCATTGCAATTCGTGAGCCTCGGAAGGGGACTACCACGTGCCCACACACAGTCGAGATTTGTGTCTGCGTGGGGCACGAGGATCTTTTCCGGGCTTCTTTTCCAATGGGAATACTATGAGTTAGATGTTGGCATGAGTGTGCGAGTCCTTGTACCCACCCCATAGTGGAGACAGCGAGCTCTGGCTTGTGGAATGAGGGACATTACTGTATAGTACTGTACCGTACCGTACCACCATTGCTGATGCGAGTACCCGCACTGTACCGTAGCTTTCACTCCACCCCGCAAAAAGGGTAATGGCCGTCACCCTCTCACAAAAAACTCCGGAACAGCCGCACAAAATCGGCTGCCACACACAGACCACACGCCCCACCACCCGCTTCCCTTGGCGTGAGGAAGGATCACCATTTTTCCCGTCCCTAGATGTCTCATGGGGGAAGCGATGTTGGGTTCGTTGAGCTCGAACTCGAGTATGATACAATACCGGTACCGGTGCCGGTACCGGTAGCCTACCATACGCACTCCATGTACGAGTACTCGAGTATTCCTCTTACAGCTGCAAGAATTGTGTACTCGAGTATGTGTGTGCGTGCGTGCGTGCGTGTGTGTGTGTGTGTGTACTAGAGTACAGTACTTGTGCCAAATGTAAAGCTGCATATATACTGCATCCCTCTCTACCTTACAGTATGTATCATGCGAATAATGTATGAATGAATCTGCGTTTATGTGTGGTGGGGCGCTTCTCCGTCTCTCCTCTTACCATACTGTTTCTCTCCCCCTCTATCATCCCCATCCCCCCCACTATCCTCTTGTTGCCCAATCCCTATCCTTTCCCCTCCCTCCGTTATCCTGTCGTCTCTTCTGTTTGTGGCATCTGTTGCATTCCAGCCTGCTTGTACCGCGAACAAGTAAAACTCGAGTGTGTGGTATCTCACGCTCACCCTTACTCTGCCTCCTGCCTACACCCCTCCTTTCCCTTCCCCATCCTCCCTCCTCACGCCTGATCCCCACTGTTTTCCTTCCAGCATTATTCACTTCCCCTTCACTTCTAATTCTTCCAAGTGTTTTCGTTCCATCAGCATCCATCTTTGCTTCTCCCCCCGACGACTCAACACCCACCCCCTCCTGCAACAAACTTGGAAACACGATTGTCTCCTTTGCTGATACGCTGAATCCTCAATCAGCCTTTCAGAATGTAAGCAACAAACATGCTTCTCTGCTTATCGTGCCCTTAATGAGCTCAAGTTCGTTTTACTACGGCGAACGCTGACGGCAAAAATCTAACTATTGCCTTCTTTGCGCTAGGCGTCTCACCGTATCGTTCATCTCAACCTCCCAGATCATACAGCTCGATGTTCCATCCGATATGCCAACTGTGGATTTTAAGGCGCTGATTGCCGCGGAGATACCCGCTGTCTCCTCCGTGGCCCAACATCTCTACCACAATGGTCGACTCCTCGCTGACCCTGCCAAAACTCTTGGAGAATACGGAGTTGCCGAGGGGGATATGATAGTCCTGCATACGAGGGGCAGTGGTAGCAGCAGTTCTCCTGGAGCCGCATCTGGTCAACAACAGCAGCAAGCTGGGGCGATAAGGCGTTCATCGGGAGGCCCTTCCGGTGCGGGTAGAGGTGCTCCATACGGACGGCGGCCTGCGGCAGCAGGGCCACCATCTGCTCCGGAAGGCCAACCCGGCATGGACTCTGAGACGATTCGTTTGCAGGTTCTAGGCGACCCGAGACTGATGAATGAGCTCAGGAGCTCCCAGCCGGAGCTGGCCGCGGCGGTCAATGACCCAGAGAAGTTCGGAGAGGTCTTCCAACTGATGGAGCGGCAAAGGGCTGAAGCCGAGAAGCAGAAGCAGCGGGAAATTGTGAGTCAAGTCTCACTGGTCTGAGTGGTGGAGGTGAAGTCACTAACACGGAGCACCATTTCACAGCGAATGTTGAACGACGATCCATTTAACATAGATGCACAGAGAAAGATCGAAGAATTGATTAGGCAAGAGGCTGTTATGGAGAATTTGCAGAATGCGCTAGAGCATAATCCTGAAGGTAGCAAGCATCCACAATATTATCTCACATGCAGCCCTACTGACGTAAGAACCTTTCCTCGCGTAGCTTTTGGTCGTGTAACAATGCTGTACATCCCGGTAGAAGTAAACGGAACCAAAGTGAAGGCATTCGTTGATTCTGGAGCGCAAGAGACGATCATGTCCCCTTCGTGTGCAGAGACTTGCGGTATCATGCGACTGGTCGACTCTCGGTTTGCTGGTATCGCTAGAGGCGTTGGGACGGCTAAAATCTTGGGCCGTGTTCACTGGGCTCAGATCAAGATCGGGAATCTGTTCCTGGTCTGTTCGTTCACGGTTATGGAAGGCAAGGGTGTAGGCCTACTTTTGGGACTTGACATGCTCAAGAGGCATCAAGCTGTTCTTGATTTTAAGAAGGGTTGCCTGGTTATTCAGGATGAAGAGGTTCAATTCCTGGGAGAGAGCGAGATTCCCAAGCACGATGATGACCGCGGGCTGGAGGACCAGCCGGCTGTCGAAGGCCCAGGTGGATCGGGAGTTGGAGGCAGAACTGGAGTCTCAATTGAACCATCCATCACATCTACATCAGCTGGATTTGGGCCTACATCGGGGGGTAGCAGTGAAGCGGCGCCGGGGCAACCGGAGTCTCAGCACTCTGCGGAAGCCATAAGCCAATTGGAGGGATTGGGTTTTTCTAGGAGCGAGGCTTTGGCAGCTTTGAATGCCACTGGCGGGGATATAGATATGGCAGCTAGTTTGCTCTTCCAATGATGTTGGCCCCCGAGCCTGGAGTGGCTTTGGCTTTTTTGCTTGAAGATGGCTTTCTGCTTGATTTCTTGTTTGGGGGAGTGGTGGTGGGTGTTCAATAGAGGATAATCTAGCGACTATTTTGGGGATCTTAATCGATGGAATGGTGGGAGGTAGATTAGCTATATCTAATGCCCGAAACGGCCGCAAAAAGTTCCTTGGCTGCTCTTCAACGGTTTATGAAGTGTCTTGTTTAACCCCCCCCCCCCTTTTTTTTTTCCTTTTCTTTTTTCTTTCATTCTGTGACGTTGTCCCTCTTCTGGGCGAGCTTGGACGTTTCCCCACATGAACCCCCGTTTTCCACATCACTGTAACTTATCCTTCACGCTGATGCCGACATCGAAGCGATAGCTACACCCACCTCATGACTCAATCCCTAACGCCGAACAAGCAAAGGTCCAAGGCAGCGGAGAAAAAAAAAAGAACGTAGCCAGCGCTTGCGTTTTTAAAATTGACCTTCTCTAGAAACATTACACCATCCGTTATATTTTTTTTCTCCAAGGAAAACTCAAACTTCAGCAATTTCACGAAGGCGACGGATTGTCGATCTAGTGGCTGCCGCGGCAGGTGTTCTATGCCCAAATAACCTCCCGTTAGCGTTTCTCCCGGGGCAGGAAGAGGTGGAGGTAGTGTAAGGGAATGCAAGGGAATGTACGAAACGACCCAAGCCCCACCAGCAACGGTCTTCTTACAAGACCGGCATTCCCAGATTCCGACAGAAGTGCGCTTCACAGTTGTCTTTCCACAGAAAGTGCAGGTGTATCTGGCGTGCTGGGTGACTTCCATCTTCTTGACTTGTTTGCGGAGAGAGGCACCGTATCTGTCGCAGCATTAACGTCCGATTTGCTCCTCTTCCCGTGTTCCCGCTGTAGCAACCGCCATAAGGTTCTCGAGCAGTGGGGGGCGGAAAGGGTTGTTTATTCACCTGACACCGTATTTACCGGTCACTATAACAATAATTCATTAGCCTTTGTTTCCCTGGCCCTCAGGTAGCCAAAGTAAAATTTCAAAAATGCGGGATATAACGTACCGCCAACCTTCTTCGTGCGCTTGGTCATCTTGTCTGCTCCTTGTTGATAGAGTTACTCGGATTGGAAGTGGGGGGGGTATCCGTCGGTCGGTTGGTCGTCGTGGTATTGGAGTCTGGGTGGTGTTGGAATCTTCGTGTAAGGCGTGCCTCTAGCCTAGGGGCAGGTTGCAAGTCGATGCTTGTGTGTGTGTGTGTGTGTGTGTTTGTGTGTTGCAGTGGGATTAGGGCTTTGTTTAGCCCTAATTGAGCAGTCATTTAGTGATTGGGAGATAATCTTATCTTTAGGGGCTTGGCTTGGCTGAGACGGTGCTGGAGATAATAGAGTTGTCTCTCCAGTCGCGTCGGTTAAGGTCAACGTCAACCCTCGACTTGAAGCTATTTGTTTTTACGCTGATACTTACAGTACCGGGGGAATTCTTGAGGTCTATTTGCTTCATTCTACTCTGCAAATACACTATATAACCACATTCACGAACAAATCATCGTCACCATGGCAAACGGGTACCCTTCACCCCTTTCCCGCTCGGATCCCTCTTGTTAGAAACCAGAGCAAAGCACTAACATGACCTACAGCTGGAGCATATTCGTCGGCCTCTTTGTTGTTGTAGCGCTCTCCGCCGTGGCGTGGGTGTTTGCCCCTAAGGGCGAGAATCAAACGTACCCTCTTCCCGCCTCCTCCCCTTCGTCCTGGTGCCCCGGCTAACTCAGAACCCTAGCATCTGGCGAAGTTCATTGATCCTTACGTTCGCCGCCTGCTACATTATGTGGGGTTTGTACCATCCCCCCCCCCTGTTAGGATGGTAGGGGTTGATGACGAACAGCGATTACCTTTATGGCACAATTACATCCCTTGGTCATGCCTAGGAGATCGAATCTGAGGCCGGAAGCGCACTCTGACCCGAGGTTTTTTTAGGGGTTGGTGAGTGTTGGGTGGATGTACGATAGTCACGGCTTGGGCGGGAGTGGGGGTATGATACATCTGTGTGGTAGTGATGGGGACGGGGAGGTGGGATGGGGAGGGGTGGGGATGTCGTACCTTTAATGGGAATTTAATTGCTTTTGGGATTTATTTTTCCGCCATCTGTGCGGACTGATGGTGGTGGACGGTTCGTGACGCAGAGCGTGCCGTGGGACAAGCAGTTTTCGGAGCAAGGAGTTGTGACTGAATTGGCGCCGTTGGCACTTGAAGATGAGGGGGGCTGTGAATGGCTCGGTGGACGACCGTGAGGTAAGTTGTGACTGCCAGACATTCTCTGTGGTATCGGTCTTGCGTTATATGTCCAAGTTGGCGTACCTTGTTGCGATAACGGCATTTGTGTTTCTCTTACCCAAGAGATATACCAGCTCGGGCATTGTATTCCTGTGCTGTGTCTGCCAGACACCCGATCCCACTCACAGAGACATGCAGCAAACACTATGCATCTCTTTGAATAGAACAAGAATATCATACCGCCCCCAGCGTGCATCACACCTACCCCTCCAGGAGAACCCTGCGCATCGTTTCCGTCAGTCAACTCATAGCACCGTATGCCCGAACAGACTGGAGTTCTCGGGGCCCCTCATACCAATCCCACATGATAGAATCAAACTGTATCATACTAGTTTCTCGGCAGAATTCCATAAGTGGGCAGCGCTTGAGCACGATTCTCCCGAACCCGCCCCCTTAGAATAGCTCGTGTACCCAGCGACACCACATCGCCAGTCCACCGATGGGCCCGTTCCTCCATAAGGACTGGGAATGGCCATCCCCCAACTCCTATGACCGACCCAAACCTGTACCTGCTATGCACCTTGCCCGCCACCACCCACTGTCACGGAAGCAATCCTGATACCCCCGAGTTCGGAAGGGAAAGCCCCTGAATAGTCCCCCAAAATCCAGCAGTTGTAATCGACGGCTTCCCTATCGGCAGACACCTCTCTGGGATTGTGGTTCACAGGTTGGCTCGCAGAGTCCGGAGATTACTGTTGGGTATGTCATCGTCCTCCTTGCACCCCTGTATCTAGGATGTCGACATTCTGTAGGGTGGCAGTATCAGCCCATCACCGGTAGATCAGGGGACCGTACACGCAGGCCCCTCCATTAGAGCCGGGAACGCACTCCCCACACCCGTGCGAAGCTGTAGGAGGGGGGAACTTGATTGACGGAGGGGTATTCTTTAATATTCAAGTGGGCATGTCAGAATCCAGCCTTCTCAGTTCTCTTTAGTGGCGACTCGACACGCCGGCCGAGAAGCATCTCTATCACAGGAACCTGCAAAGTGCCTAATTAGCGGACTCTAGTCCTGAGCCTCTGTCCTCTGGATATCCTGGAGTGTATCATACTACGACAGCAAGTAGCAGCAGAAACTTGAACCACTCCACTGGGAAGGGCTACCGGCACCATTGCCCGTCCGGGCACACGGTGTGATATTATATACCCGTACCATACCGTACTAGTACATGGATGGAGAGGTACTATATCAGAGTAGACTACCACCACCACCACCATCAAAGACCAAACACACGACGCAAAATAGCAACACCACCCCCCTTTACTGCATTTTTATTATTATTATTATTATTATTATTATTATTATTATTATTATTACCAGAGAAATGTCCGTAAAAGCGGATTACCAATGGCTCGTGATGGATGATAGAGAAGGCACACAGTTGCATACAGATCATCACCATTCGTAGTCCCTTAACAAAAACAGAAACAAAAACAAAAAACAAAACTGCCGCCATCGTAATGTATTGTGATTATCGGTATGTCGTCCCTGTGGGACCGTCCCCTCTTATATACACATTATATATATACAAGTATGATACCAGTAGGCACCACTCGTCCCTAACCTAGCCCGCGAGGTGCGAGCGCCGAGAAGGGGAGATGAAGTTCAAAGCCGACAGACTGTGACAAGTCTTGGATGAGTCCTTCATGACTTTCATCTGGTCGATTCTGCTCTCGTTGCCATCTGTCATGGACTCACGCCTTAGGTTATATATATAATAATAATAATATTATGATATAATATTCCGATAAAAGTGGGGGAGGCAGGAGGTCGGAATCGAATCGAGTGAGAATTCATGCGTCGAGCTTGGGATTGGCCAGGGCACTATGATACTACATCGTTCAGCTAAGGGGGCGAGTATGATATATCACTCTTAGCGTTTAAATTTTTAAAACTGAGCATAAATTCATAACTTGTGATATCATAATCCAAAGGCATCCAGGACTCGACTAACATCCACTACCCACTCTCATTCGCCTCCTCCTCCTCGCACAGCTCACGTTAAAAACCAAACGTCTCGAACATCTCCCTTCCTCCACCCACGATCCGTACACAAAAAAGGAAGAAGAGACTAGGCTGTCTAACATAGCTCCCACTCATCTCCGACATCGGGCAAGCTAGTAGCAAACTGGATATCGGAGGAGGACCCGTCCTCACCAGTCCACGTAACGCCAACACCATCGAACAGGTCGGAAAAATCCCAAACCTGCCTAGTCGCTCCAACGCTCAACTTCTGGCCGTCTCCGTTCTTGACCACGTAGTCCCCAGTGGGGTGGCCGAGGCTGTTGAGGGGTTCGATGGTGACCTCATCCTTCTTGATGAGCACTCTCTCGTCGTCGAAGTCCACATCCTTGATGCGGAACTGGGTCCTGCGGTTGGTGGAAATGACGATCCTGACGCCCTCACGGTACCAGTACAGATTGGGCTGGCGTCTGTTGCGGATGTAATAGGAGCCGCCGGTGATCCAGTCGCGGCCAATGGTGGGGTTGGAGATGACGGGCCAGTCGCGGCCCGCGTTGGCGTCGGCGAGGATTACGGACATGAGCGTGTAGTTGAGTTCCGGGAGCTTGTTCTCGCGCTGGACGTAGACTATGGTCCACCACGGGTCACCATCGACGCTGTCGTAGCACCAGAATTGCGGGTTCACGCGCTTCAGCGTGGTGAAACGTTTGGCGCCGGCGGCGGTCTTGAGGCCTTGCAGACCGCGGAAGGCTTCGTCGGCGGCCCAGCGGGACTCGAAGGTCAAGAGGTGACGACCCCAGTCGGTGCGGGTGGGGTTGTTTTCGCGGGTCCATTTCATGTAAACGTAGTATATTCCTGACATTTTGGTCTTTGTTTGCTACAGAATTGGGTGCGTGTGTTTCGCTGTTGTATGATTGAGTATCGGGATAGAGCTTGAGATCGCTGCTGGAGAGGGCTCCTATGCGGCGGGGGGAGCTGGGTTATATAGACATCTTCTCCAGTTCAACAATAGCTGCTCTCTGAGCAATGGAGTTGCAGGATGAAACTCGTGATCTCAATTACTCAACAACTTTGCATCATTCCTCCAAATACTCTCAGCTCGCCTAAGATGCCCCACTTCAAGGGCCTTTTTCTCGGGGAATCAGGTCGGTGGAATGTCTCATGGGTGCATGTACCCCACCAGTGCCTCACCTCCTGCTCCTCCCCTTCTGACATCTCCAACATCCATCCAACATCCCCTCCCAAGCAAATGCCCCCGCGGGGATATGGCACTTGAGTATTCAGAGCCCAATACAGATCATGCAGTACGACAAAGAGAAGCGGGATCCCCCCCTGGCGTCTCCCGGATTGGAGAAAATGCTCGTGGCAGCTTGGAGTTCGATGCACCAAACCAAGCTGAAGATTCAAATATTTTGCCGGACATCCAGCTGAAGGACTGCAGCGCAGAGGGGGAATGAGAGGGAATGAGAGAGAGAAGGTATGATATCAACCGGAAGTCGTGATCAAGAGTGGAGGTGAAGTGCGGTTGCCGACACCGTCCGTTGTAGACCGTACCCTTTTGGGGAGGTATAAGGAAGGCCTTGTCGTGCACAGAGCGGTGCCACCGTAATATTGGGTCGCGACGGCGCAGCGGAAACCAAAGAGACCCGAGAATCTACTGTGCCGTACCGTACTCATACAAACTAGACCCCCCCCCCCCGCCCCTCCTCCAGTTCAGATTCGGAGGGGCTCAGAAATCCGGAGAACTTGTATGGTATCCAATTGAATGGAGAACGGGCGGGCTAACTCAAATTGCCTACCGTATCGCACTGTGGGATGCAATCTTGTGAAGGCCCATTTCCAACCGTACGGTATGATACTCTGATTCCACTCTACTCCACCGTGGTTAGATCACAATCCGGAAATTTGGAAAATGGTTTTCTTCTTTTTCTTTTTGTTCCCCCTCAACTCCTGGGGGGCATTACGGCCTGTGACTCGGCTGGTTGTTTGCTGTTGTTCAGGGACGTCAGGTATCTCCAGGTTCCTACAGGTAGCATGGGTAGGATAGACCACTCTCTCTGAGATTGGTGGTCGCCAAGACGGAAATGGTGACACGAGTGACTTTGCATGAGAAAACGGGATGGGGGAGAGAAAGGTAAGGAATTCCGGGACACTCTCAGATCTCTTCATGTCACTCGCTACCCTAAGAGTACGATAATTAGCTTGCGCAGTTGCCCCCCTGCTAGTAAGCCAGAGACCCGAGTTGGACCGGGGCCAGCTCGCTTTCATCACCCATCGTATTATCATATGATATCATACCTGCCGCCATTGTTTAGGGCCTACCGTATCTGACTGATACAAAGCTATTATACTCGAGTAACATCAGGATATGATGAATTGTTATTTCTGTGTCCGCAAGGAGGTGGGGTGCGATGTGTGTGGATTGGATTACTGGTAGAGGTCGTAGTGCCGTGGAGTTACAGGTTGCAGTACATGTATAATATGTGGGCTGCGGACAGATAAATTATCATAGCCGGGTTTTGACAGAAATGCTTGGTTACCCGGACCAAAAAAAAAGGGAGAAACGGGTTGAAGGGGTGCCGAGGTTAAGAAGGGCAGTCTCAGGGTCTACTGTACCTGTACCGGTAATTGGAGGACGTTTGCGAACGCAGCTGGCGTTGCATAAACTACTGCACTGCCGGTACGGTACCGCCAGAATTCGCTTTTCTTTCTTTTTTCTGCTTAGATCTTAACCTGTGTGTTCACAAACGTCGTTCAAGTACCGGTACTGTACATGTACTGTACATGTAACTTACAGTATGTACTGTACCCGTCCCACTAACCCTTCAAGTTACACCCGGGAGCCGTATGCAGGCCTACCTTAAATCCCTTTGTTATCGATACTCTATGCAGTACTGTGCTCGTACTGTACTCGTACCGTACACCATCATCAACAGGGATAAGCCCCCAAAAAGCCTTCCCTGCCGACCGCTCGTTGACCCCTCCCGCCAAACCCCACCACAGGGGAGGTCCCCCAAAAGAAGCAACAATGCCCAACTCAGAATTCAGTGCACAACCTGCGGGAAGACCCCATTCGAGCCTGGACCGCTGTACCGTACTGTAGCATACGAAGTATGCCGTGCACGAGTACCAACCGGAGGGGGGGGACCACCGAATATCGCTCCCACGTGGAGTCCAGCTCGAGAAAAATCATACTACAATAAGATAAAACATCCCCCAGGACCATTATATTATATACCGGTACTCGAGTACGAGTAGTGATGATGATCGAAAAAAAAACAAAAAAAAACGATGGAGTAACCAACACAAACGCTTGAGAAAACCTGGGGGGCGGGGGGGCGTATCCTTTCCTACTCCAGTCTTCTACTCGTAGCCACGTAGTATGACAAGAGCATTCGTACATAAATCGTCCGGGACCATGCACACCCCTTGGGCAGTCTGAACGTAGCTGGCACCTTCAGGGCCTGTGTCCCAACCGAGATCTTCGTTCGACAGTTTGGGGGGGGGGGGGGGGGGGTCAGCTCATATTCGGCAATCGACGATTCGTGAATGGCGTAGAGTAGATACGATAGCCGAGTAGGCCCGTCAAGTCCATCAGTTAAGCCGGTAGGTCTTTGGTCTCCAGTTGCTGCCAAACCCCGCCATCGATGGCGGAATGTGAGTGCATTATCATACGTGGTTGGGCAAGCGGATCATGTCAAGTTTCAGCGGTCCGGCCGTATGAAGGTCACAAGTCGATGTATGAGCAGTGGATATGGGAGCACCGGGAGTCTGCAGTTCCGGTCCCTCCGTTGGGGAGTGTCTTGGGCCGGTCTCTCCTGCCGGTTCAGCTGGGGATTAAGTGGGGAGCTCAGCTCTTACGCCACGTGCATTGGGACGTAAAGGGAGGAGGTTGAGAGGGTAGAGTATGAAAACAGGGACGGGCTAATGAGGTGATACAGGAAAGACTCCAATTCTGGGACGGTTGGATATTGTGGTTGTGATACCCTAGAAAAGCGGGGAGAGGCAAATCTGGAGGGACTGCGCGGGGCTGGCCGTGGTGGGAATGTGGTTGCTATCCTTTCTGGCGTGGGGTCCCCGCAGTTATGGTTGGTTCTCTGAATCATCTGATATCACCCGGCCGCAGCTGGAGTTCGATGGAAGGTTCGCGCGGCCTATCATAATATTATGATACCTGCGAATGCCAACTTCTGGAGTGGAACTAAAACGCCTCGAGAGAGGTCATTAGAATTAGCAAACATTACCCGCTCCATTTCTCCCTTCCCTTCTGGATTTATGGCGCTCGCGATGGGAGCGCCGAACCTCCCCGTATTTAATAATCTTGCTGCTCCGGGAGTGCATGAACCTACACTCGGGGGGTGTCCGGGCCACTCGCCATGGTGCCACAATTGCTTGAATCCGGTTACCGAAACCCCTACCAAGCCGTGTTTATCGAGAGGTGTCATGGAGAAAGTTGGCCACCAGCAGAAACGATGAACATAGGTCTATAATATCTATCCCATTCAAGAGCATGTTTTACACGCAACCATGAGCTGTTATCTTTCCATGCTCATGGGCAAACAGTCACTCGCAGCCTCCATTATCTCCACGCTGTTTCCTGATTTCTTTGGGTATTCACGAAAACTTCGGAACGGGGATATGGTTCCAACACCTTATGCCCTCAATCACCACTATGACCATACTCCACCACTCCCCCGAATCCCGAACTTCGCATGCGCGGCCACAAAGCCCAGCCCCCATTCGAACTTAATGATACAGAATACGTCGAAGATCTAGCAAGGCAACGTCACGAGTCTCTAGTAACTGTGAGAAGAAAATTTAAAGGAAAGAAAAAGGAGAAAAAAAGGCCCATTATCATAGCAAGAGCTGGAAACATAGAATTTATGACATCACCTATCTACCCAACCTACTTTGTGCGGTGTATGAACGGGTGTTTGAGCGCTTCGACGGGAGTGCAGCGTCGCTCAGGATTAAGGTTTAGGCAACGGTCTAACAAATCGATGAAGCCATTTAATTCCTTCATCTCTGCATCCGTCATTCCAGGCGACGCTGCGGCGAGGAGCCTTGTTTTCAGTTCCCTGACAGGTTTGTTGAAGGCAAGTGTCTTAGTGATATCCTGTGCGAAGACAACTTTTAGTAGAGCCTGGGGGGAAATACTAGATGAATTGCTACCCACTTTTCCGGTGATTTTATCATTCTCTACACTCCTGAAATTAAGCATATCGTCAAAGTGTAAACCTGTGAATTTTCCCTTACGAAGCACCTTTTGTGGGAATTTTCCACGGCACTCCATGATCGAACGCAGCATCTGGTTATTGGTGCGACCAGTGAATAAAATCTTCCCAGTGTACAGCTCGTAGAGAGTGCATCCAATGGACCACATGTCGATAGCAAAGTCATAGGGAATACCTAGAACTGTAGAAAGTATCAGCATCGAGGAAGTGTAATGGGGGTGACAATTACTTACTGATTTCAGGTGCTCTGTAGAACCTGCTCACGAGATAAGGAGTAATCTCGTTTTCAGAAGCGTCGGATGCAGAGCCCAGATCGCAAATCTTGAGCATATTACAGTTTTCATTTGCCTAGCGCCAACAAAATTAGCATGACGACAACGTGGACAGCCCGCGGTGGGCCCTACCAAAACATTGTCCGGCTTCAGATCTGCATGCAATATATTACACTTCCGCAAGAGCGACAAACCGAGAAACAATTGCTGAGCATATGAACGAACTGCCATTAGACTAATACCCTCACTTCGTCCATATCTCTTGAGCACTTCACGCAGGTTTATGCTAAACCCAGTTAGTAGAGAGAGGAATCGGAGTGCAGTGGGAAATACCTCAAGTTTTCAAAGACGATACAGAGATGGCCCTTGTGCTCGAAGCATCTCTCTAACCTAACCAAATGCTTTTTATCATCTGGATCTGCTTCCATCAATTTCTTTAATATATCAATTTCCCTCAACCCAGCCTTTTTCCTGCAATGCGGTTAGCGTCGTGGAAGGAACAAACAAAAGGAAAACAGGAGAATAAGAGTATAAGAAACATACATCGTCTCATTGTTTCTAATGATCTTAATTGCCACCAGCTTCTGAGTCGTCAAATCCAGGGCTCGTACTACACCCGAGAACATACCCCTACCAAGATTTGTTTGCACCCGGTAGCGACCGTCGAGAAGCTCAGCAGGTATAACGCGGTAATACCCATCGGCATCGTCCCAGTTATCTAATAGACTAGCATCCAGTTGCTTTGCGTCAGAAACAATGGGATGAGTCGTGTTAGTCTGACTTTCCACCTTCTCTGCTTTTGGTGTAGGCCCCGCAAACATATCATCGTCGTCACCTTCGGCAAACATGTCAAAATCATCCTCCTCCTCCTTCTTTGTGGACGCCTGCTGCGGTTCTTGCTTTGGTAAACTTGCCGATGTCTGTTCATCTCTCGCAATGACCTTGGTCACATCGTACGCACTAGAGGGTGCCTCGTGATCGTGAATACGCTGCTCGTACCGTTTGTTATCCTCCCGCATGTCAACAGTTGGGTCGTAATCTGCTGCCGAGGGTCCCTCGTCTTCAGCATTTGCCATCGCTGTGGAACCTGCATTGATTACAGTTGCACCATTCTTGGATATGTTGAAAGCACCGGTAGGGGAGTCTTCACGCGAAGAATCAAGGAGCGCAGGGGATGCTACGGCTACGAAAGATTAAACAATCAAAAAGTCAAAAGATGGAGGGCCAAAACCAACCTGGAGTAACCTCCCCCTCTGATATTCCTGGTGAATTTGGGTTTGACCCAGCAATCGCTAACGCCGATACAAGAAGTGGTGTAGCTTGTCCCCTATACTTAGCCTTAATTGCCTCCCTCTTCTTACGCCGCTCTTCAATAAGCTTAACCTCATCGACCGGCTCCTCAATTTCCATTTCTTCCGGCGGCGGTTTAAGCGGAGCTTTCTCAGTGGGCGGGTTTCTATCATCCCCCCAGATTTCAGCTTTGGGAGAAAACCCTATGCTCTTGGAGGTTTGAGCGGACCTTCCGCTATTCCCATTCTGAGCAGTACGGTGACTAAGCGATTGCTTATCCCCATTCCCCTGATCTGACTGTTTGTTGCGGCATTCAGCATCTCGTTTTGACAATTCAGACGGAACTGGGATATTTCCTTGTTCGCTCACTGATTGCTCCTGGGAGTGCCTGCGGCTGTCGTTTCTACCTCTGTCCCATTCCCTCTCTCTGTCAATGAACCTGTTACCACCATCACGTCTGCTATCGTCAAAATATCCACGCCTACCACCTTTGCCATCTCCTCTAGGCCCCCGTGGGGGTGAACGACTGCGGGTACGAGATCGCTTAGTATCACGGTAGTACCTGTCATCATGGCCGAACGGCCTGGGAGGATCTCTGGGCTCGGAGCGGTCGATATCGGCATACGAAACCCTAGGGCGGCGCCCGATATTGACGTCGCCGTTTGCTTCGTAGTGGACCCTGTGCTGTCGGGGATCGGGGCCCCGTTCGTGACTCCGTCTCCTTTTCTCGCCACGCATGTTTTCCCCGTTACCAAGGCGGCGGCCGTGGTCTCTGGGGTCGAAGTGGTCATGGCGGAAAGGAGGATAGGCGTCACCGTTACCGCCGCGGTAATTGCTGATGCCAGGAGATCTCGAGTCTCTGTTTCTACTTGAAAGACGGTCAACCCTGGGGCCAGTAACGGAAGGCAGCGATGGAGGTGCCTTCTCTACTTCTGTTTCGAAAATTTCACCCTCCTCGTCAAACGACTCGCTTGGTGAGTTCATGGTGCACGAACGTCTATCTCCTAAGTATCTGTGTAGACACGAATTTCTTTCGTTGAAGAAAGTATTAGCCTCGCGTCTCTTTGGAAAGTGAGGCTTTTGTTTGGTAGAAGCCCAACCGCGATTCAGTTCCGTTGTTCAGCTTTAGCTGATTTTTCCCGGTCGACTGAGGAGAAGTAATGGTCGTAGTGGTCGGCGGGTAGGCGGGCAGAAAGCAAGAGACACTCTATATGAACAAAAAGCAAAGCTTATGAGCTGAAAAGGGTGGGAGTTTAAAGGCAAGACACAAGGGGAGGGGGAGAGGAGGAATAAGGAGAAGAAGGAAAGCAGGAGGGCGAAGAGGTGAGCACGATGACGGTTGGGATAAGCGTCGTGGAGAAGATGGCGTGAGGTTAGGGTTGTCCAGCACGATTGTTTGCTTCGTGATGGACCCTGGGCTCTGCGCGTAAAGTCTGTCACTGACAGAAAAACCTCCGAAGAAGCACCCCCGGGGGAATGCCAATTCCAACTATCATATCATAATACGAGCACTGTATATAGCTTACCGGTAGCGGGAAATGCACATAAACGGGCCTCGAACTTGGTATAGTATCATAGGGTATAATTGTTAATGCTAAATAAGCTGATTTTCGGCCAGATTCACCCAAATATCCCTTGCGCTCTAGCACCGGTACTATAACATGTTAAAGAGCGCCGAATGCTTAAATTATTCCTTGGGTTTGGGTTTGCCGCTAAGCCGCCGGTGTGCCCTTGTGTGATGAACGCTGGGAGCGTGCATCACCTAAAAATATCTGATCTGATAATCTGGTTTTGATACGGTACGGTATCGCACCCTGTTATCATAATATTATCATACCGGTTCTGTGCGACTACCGTATGATATTATGATATCTTATCGCAAACTTCAATCATACATCTTGGCGAAAGGGCTCCAATCTTATCTGACTTCATCACTTGTCACCACAAAAGTTCCAGTATCGCGTTTCATCACCCATAACTCACTGCGAACCCCCTGCACCGGACGAGATGTCCTCCCTTCCGCCCACATCACCCGTAAAAGGCCACACCAGAGCTTCATCCACAGACGAACGACGAGGTTAGTGCTTGCCCTCCTCTCCACACACTGCTCCTAATTCCCCTAGTTTCCGTCCCCCGTCGACGAACAAAAGGCCCCCTAGACCTTGGAGAGTAAGCCATCTATCCACCCCTCACCAAAGCAAACAAGGCAAACAAAGCCTCCCCTGCTCTTTATTGCTTGACAGTAGAGCTAATGAATGCCCTCCAAGTCCCCCATTCAAAGATCACCCACTCCCGACTTCCCCCACAGCCGCCCCAATCTTCTCGCCCGCCTCTCCGACGGCCCCGAAACAACAAATGTCTTCCGGTCTCTTCGATATGTACCCGCCCACCATATCCCGGGACTTCAGCTACCTCCTCCACCCTCAGAACTTCCACCCGCTCCCCCAGCACACCATCCCCGCCGCCTTCCGTACATCAGCCCACCAGCCCACGGCATCCACCTCCCTCCACACACTCCTGTCGACGGGACACTTCCGTGCGGCAGCCATAACTGCCGCTAACCAGCTCACTAATCCCACTTCCCCGACCCCGCTTACAACTGAGGAGATATTCGAGCTCTGGTACATCCGACTGAGTAGTCTTATACTCATCGGGAGCACCTCCACCGCGGCGCAGGAAATAAAAGTATTCTCGGACCTCGGCTCCAACTTCTACCGTGATGCACGGGGCGGGCACTTGGCCCCCTGGGAACTCCGAGTTCTCGCAGTCCGTTTACAGGCCATCGGCGTAAGCGACTGGCGGCGGAGCATAGCGCTCTATTACGAGCTAGCCCGCGAAGCCCGCGGTGAGATACTGAAGCGCGAAGCGAAACCCGACTCCCCGGAACACAGCGTTGAGGAGATTTCCCTCTGGAGAGGGCGTCTCCGTGACTTGGGAATTCGTGTCGCTAGTGCGCTGGTGGAAATGGGTGACATGGCGGCCGCCTCCCGACATCTGGAGGGATTCCGAGTGAGTGCTGATGATCATGAACTCAAGGCGATATTATGTCTGCTGTATGTGCGCATCGGGAATCTGGCGGCTGCGAAGAAGGTCCTTCCGGCGGTGGGCGGGGAGGATATATGTGAGAGAATTCTCTCTACGCTGATACTCATGGGCGAGGCTAAGTGGGAGGAGGCTGCCGTTGCGTGGGGGGAGATTTCCGGCACTAGGGGGATCGAAGAGGGTGGGGATATGGCGAGCAATAATTTGGCGGTTTGTCTGCTATATATGGGGGATCTAAAGGAGGTGATTGTTTCCCTTCTTGACAATTCCTGATCTCGTGCTGATAGAATGCTTGCAGGCCCGAAGCGTCCTTGAGTCTTTAATCGATAACGGAACCTCTTTCACTGGTCTAACCTTCAACCTCTCAACAATCTACGAACTCTGTAGTGATAATTCAAAAGTTCTAAAAGCAAGTCTAGCGGAGAGGATAGCAGCTCAAGGAAAGGAAATGACAGGTGCTAGTTTCAAAATGTAAACAGCAACAATTGACCACAGTCGCGCACATATTGCATCCTATTCTGCCCAACTTTGTGAGAGAAGCTGCATCTATTTATTGTTGCAATGTCGGACATAATGGCTGTTTATCTAAGTTATTACATAGAGGGGGTGATGAACGGGCTGCATTTTCAGAAGCCAAGCTTCTCGCTTTCGCACAAGTCATAAGTTACATGATATCCTCGGCAGAAAGGTCATTCAAGACATGTTTTATATGAAATCATGAATATGAGACAAGGGAACGACATAAGGAAATCAAGATGTAATGGTATTTGGACGGGAAAGAAGGAAGGAGGAAGGAGGGGATGGGGAAAAGAAGAAGGTATAGGAAACAAAGGTAGCCAAAGAATCACACCGCTAAATATCCAAACGCTAAAGTGGGGGAAGGGAGAGAGGAAAGGAGACCAAACGAGCGTTCTGCCGATAGTAGGAAACAGAAGAAAGGGAAAAAGACTATACGTACTTTTTGGCGAGCTTTACCCTCACGTAGCAACAAACACTGTCGGAATGAAAACATGAAAGCTAATCAACCTCAGAACAAACGAATAAAACTAGCAGTTCTGAAGATAGTTGCTAGGGACCAGGCCGGGTCTTCCTTGAACGCCTACTATCTCTGCCTCCCACCATCCGTCATCCTGCTGCCTCAAAACTGCGACGATATCTCCCTTGGCGAAGCTAAGTTCTTCCGGAATGGCTGCCTGGTAAACATACATGGCTCTCGCTGTTTTTCAAAATGAGGTCAACCCTTGGTCCCCGCAAAACCATAATGATGCACGGATCATTGTGCAACTTACCATAATGTAGGATTGGCCTACCGTCGCGACTGTATTGTCTACTAGTATCGACGACACTCTTGCTTCTGGGACGGGAGACTTGTCCTCCTCCTCCTCCTTGGTAGGTTGCAACTACACCCACCTGGCTGCCATTGTCGCCATTGTAATAGCTATGCCTAGAGCTCTGGCCATCATAACTGCCGCGAACACTACCCGCCTGACTTCTTCCTCTAGACCCATAACTGTCATGCCTACTATGGTGACTAGGTGCAGGAGAATGTGATCTATAATTGCTTAACGCAACCTCTTGCCCAGACGGCAGTGGTGAAGGGGAACGCTGCGAGTAGGCTGTGTACTGGCCCCGATTGGTATTTGAGGTGCCGGGTCGGGATTGTGTGTAAGGGTTAGGGGACGCTGAACGATTATACGTAATTGGCTGGGGAGAGTTGCTGTGATACCTGTCATCACCATAAAGTTGTGGACGGGGGCTGACACTTCTGTTAGGAATTGGGCTGGCTGCTCTGCGGTCCTGCTGATTATCAGATACTTCACGGGAGCTTTGCCTGGATTGTGTACGTAGGTTTTCCATTGTCCTGGCCCTCTGCCGCCCAGACCCGGTTCGACTTGGTGCATCCCCCACAGCTGCGGGCATCTGCGGGCCGTCGAGCATATGGTCTCGTTGGTTAACGTATCTTTGGGTAGTTTCTTGCATTTGTTGTGATGTGAAGGCGGGCGGTGGGGGACCTAGGGCACTAGTCTTGGGAGCGTAGTTTGGTGGCGGGGTCCCTCGCTGCGCTGCATTTATAGCTGAGTTCAGTCCAGGAGCTGGCGTCGCCACAGGGGCAGGTGTTGCTAGCCCAAAGAACCGATCTGCAGTGTTTCTTGGTGGAGCTGAACCTTTTGTCACGCCCTTGAGCTCTGCTAACGCCTGAGCTATAGGATCCAAAGCTAACTCATCTTCCTCCGGGGTCTTCATAGATTGGCCCCCTTTGGTATTCTCGAGCGCTGCTACGTCAAATACGTTCCCACCGACATTAAGTGCAAGGCTAGCCCTTGGATCTATGAGTTCAGGGCTATCGTGTTGTTCATCATGAGGTCTTTGCTGCGTCTGGCGCTGCCGTCTATTTGTAGAGCCGCTCTCGTATCCTCGCTGGTGCCTGGAACTCGTTGAAGGCGAGTTGCTCTGTGGGGCTGGGGACCAAGTACTGCGGGTTCTCATTGACGGCGGGGGCCTAGCAGGTGATTCTGGCTGCTGTTGAGCCTCCATGCGACGTTGTTCTTGAAGTGCCATCTGCTGCTGTTGCTGTTGTTGCTGCAGCTGGAGTTGATGCCGCTGCTCCTTCTCGCTTTTGCTCTTCCTTCTGAATGGCCCGCCATTGCTGAAAAAACCACTCTTCCGTTTCGCGACAAGTTTCTCTTCTTCTCTATGTATTGGCTGCTGTTTCAGTGGTGATCGCTGACCTCCCCCCCTTGCAACTGGTGGGGCCTCATTCCCACTGGAAACAGAGGTTGGATTAGAGCAATCACTTCCAGAAGCATGGCTACTCGGAGGGCGCGCAATAGGGCTGCTACCCGAGCCACTATCAGAAATCATATTTCCAGGACGGCAATACATAGTCATTCCATCAAGGGGATATTCATTGTGAGGTGCATTCTGAGCGGCTTGCCTTTCTCTCTCATATCTCTGTGACCTTGATGGCGTTAAAGTGCTGCCGGATTGCTGGTATTGGCTATCGCGGCGAGACCTCGACCCGGGGGTAATGTTGCCCGCAATTTCTCGGTTGGCGGGGGGAGTCTGCGGTTCCTTGTTTCTTAAGTGATCGCGACCAGAGCGGCGATCATGTTCACGGCGCCCGTGATCACGGCTCACTTGATCCTGTGACTCATACTCAGTTCTTTCTGGCTCACGGCGTGCACGATCACGGGGTCTGGTGCTCGGAACTTGCTCTGGTTCCGGTTCGGCTTGGGATGAGGAACTTGTAGAGGGATTTGGCGAAGCGGATCTAAACGTTGGGTTTCCTGTGCGAGGGAATTGGGCTACACTATAATTCTCTTCCTGGGTTTCTGAGGCTCCATCGTCCGATAGGTCCCCTCGACAAAAATTGATATATTTGGGGGCATCTAAGAAAGGGTCAATGATATAATAGCGTGAAGCGGAATAGCATCGGCTACCTGGAATGTCTTGACCCGTCCCACGATCCAGTATGAATGATGTAATATCCTTTTCTACTTCGCAGTCTTCTAAGGACACTCGGACCTTCTCACAAGACTTTTCGGAGGTTAGACCTGCGCAACACAAGGGGCATATATTTTACTAACCTGGTCATCGCTCACACAGACAGTGGAGGCAACGTTGGCAAAAGTCCATAGACTAGCCTTCAGGAAGTCAATCCTTTCTTCCTCCAAATCTTGAAACTTCTGTGAAAGGTGTCAGCAAGATCATTGCCCATGGCAAATTTGACTGAACGTACGTCGCAAGCTTGTTTCCATTCCTTATTCCACCTAGCAGTGGTACCTTCCAACGCTTTGATCGCTTCCTGATACTCAGCATTTGAGGTGACCAGGGCGGCCTGCGTTTTCTCCAGTCTAGCCTTATTCTTTCGTTCCTCCTGCCCCATCACCATATGGCCCTGAGCAAGATAACCCTTAATTTTCAAGCAATCTTGTTCGTAGCGATCTCGAGTCTAATGTGCACCCACAGGCTGATTAGTACCGTACTTCCTCCCCCAGTCCCAAGGTAGAAATACCTTATTCACTTGGTTCGTTTGCTTCATTTTCAACTGGAGGATTTTCTCGCAAGTTCCCTGGACAATTCTCCTTCGCTCTCGCCAAGCTCCCGAATAATCAGTCAGAGGCTGCTCTAGCTCTGTTTTCATCTGGTCAGCAGTGGTTTGATGGGCCTTTCCCATTGACTCGACTTCTGCTCTGAGCACGTCCATGGAAGTCTTGAGAGTTCCTGTTTCAACAGAGCCAAGAGGTTTCCTCGAGAGTGCTAAAAGCTTCCTGGCAAATTCATCTTCAATTGCCGCTCGTGCTATTTAATAATTGAACAAATCAGCCAATACCCTTGAGAGGGCTGGAATATAAGTAGCTACCGGTATAAAAGGTTTTTAACTCTTCGCATGTGGTTTTCGCGTCATGCATGCGCTGTAGGAGAGGACCAACGCCAGCATCATCCTTTCCCCAGAAATTGTTGGCAACTATTTCATTGTATTAGACATGTGGCCGCTAAATACATGTGAAGGACTGGTGGGGGGATGGAATGGGATGAATACATACAGGATAGCGAGACAGATGGTTCAGATATGTCCGAAGACATAAGCTGTCGCTGCAATCGTGTCATAGCGTATCGGAAGAGCTCGTAACGGTCGTCTAGCTGGCAAAGTGAGAGTGGAATGAAGCAAGGAGGCAGCCGGAATGCTTACAAGAAGCAAAGGGGAATCGCTGCAACCCCAGGGAAACGCACCGTTGCCAGCTATTTCTTAGAATGAGAATCAGGAGTGGGAGTGGAGAAGGGGGGGGCTCGATGTGGATGTTGGGCGGTAGATAAAGCTGGTGAGGATGTGTACGGGGAGATGTTGACTTTCGATTGGCCACAAATGGGGCTGAGTTGTGTTTACTCGGCAGGCAGGGCACGGTTGCCACGGAGACGGGTTTATGCAAAGAAGGAATAATGATGTGGAAGTAATAATACATACGGGGATGTCTTGTCTCCAAGTGCATACAACGTCTCGAGGCACTTTACCGTCTCAGTTGGGTTGTGCTGTTCAAGGGTTTGTTTGCCTGGACGTGTTACCGCCTTCCCCCTTTTCTACTCGAGTATAAGGGCTGATAGATAGTACGGAAACCACGAGTGCCGGGGGGGGGGTGTTTCCGCACGAGACAAATCAAGGCTAACCTGAATTAACTATGATACCGTATTTCCTAACTTTCCAGTGAGGAGCCTTTTCTGGGCACGGAGCGGCACCCTAAGAACCCGCTAAATCCACCATCGGGGATTTATGGGTTGGCTGATGAGCTATAGGGTAAGCGAACTTAGCCAAGAGATCGAGTGATAAGCCATGATAGCACGATAGTTGCCTTTAAATATCAGCTAGGATTTAAACTGCCAGAGTTTGATCCGATTACCGGTGGTTAAGAACCTAGAGTAGGATGAGCGTTCCAATTCAGTAGATACAAATTAAATCTCTTGATTATCCTCGTTACT